TTTATTTGGTACTTTACTACTTATTTATTAACAAAAACTATACTAAAAATGTAGTAAAATATGGATTTATCACCCACTAGTAGTACATAGTTAGCCCTTCTCAACACCAGTTCGTGCCAAGCCTTAGCCAAACCATGTATGACTCTGACCTAGCAATTTATGGCAGGCCCTAGTCATTATTTCATGTCAGATTCTTTTGTCACTCTAATTCAATGCAGCATTTTGTCATAAGTTTGGGCTAGAGTGATATTGCACAACATATATCTTTCATTCCACCTTTCATGTCAGATGTTGAGGTTATAGCATGGCTATATTCATCTAGTACACATGCACCTAAGAGGTTCAACCACCAGATCATTTCTATTGACCATTACCAACACATATTCATACTCCCTCTTTTCAAGGCTCACATCAAGAGGAGGAAGAGGATGAATTAGATGACCAGGATGAAGAAGCGGATGAGCAAGAGGAGCACATACATCATAGACCAGTGCAACAAATTGTATGTCATCGCTGTGCAATAAAGAGTCATATTGCTAGCCCCAGACACAATAGGCGTGGCCCATAGTGATTCAAATCGATTAGTATGGTAAACTTTTAATTTAGTTTATGTAATAGTTTTAATTGTTAAAACATGGTAGTTTAGGACTTTTAATTTTATGTACCTTTTCTTTTAAATGTATGGACTTTGGTGGTTTTATTATTAAAACATGGTGGTGTGAGACATTTAATTTTAATCAACTTTAAATTTTATGTACTTTGAAATATATCAGTTATGTATTTTAGTTTAGCTTAACTTGATTAAATACATCGAAAGATGGTAGACAATAAGGCGATAGAAAACAAATTTTTCTTAAGAAAGTAGTTACATAAACTTAATAATATTACTCTTCGTACATGAGGAAATAAGGCAATAAATAATAGATATATTGCAACAAATTAAACTTAACAATATTACTTTTACTACATAACACAACGAATCAATTATGTTAACTAGTGGATGGAGCATATTGGCATATCCATCTGGTGTGACCGGTACCTCTACACAATCCACATTATTTTTCTTGGCTCAAATAAGTCGTGTCAATTTCATTGCAAAACCTCGTGAAAATCAGACAACCCTCAAGAATTCACTTAATTGCAGGATTTGGCCGTATAGGAATGCCACTGTATGGTGGCCACATATCTTCATTAGGAATAAAAAAGAATTGTGTTTTATACACATTAAACATGGACTCCATGGTGTAAATCTCGTGAACAAAAGAGATTCAATCTCTTCAAGCATTAGAGCATGTAGTGAGTGCATGACGACATGGATAATGAAACTTTTGAAATTTTCCACAGTCACACTATCGCTCTATTATATGCACCATGAATTCCTATTGACCATGACTTCTTATGTTGTCTCTTTCAAACACCAAGTATTCTAAAGCAACGCAGGTCACTCGAGTGCTACTTATGTTACCAAAGTGTTGCCTATGCTCCTCAATTGCATTTAATAGGTTTGTGAAAATTTTTGCCACTTGCAAGTTGTGTCTTTGCCTCTGTGCCCTTTTGTAAGAACAACTCAATAAGATGATAATATGTTGACTTAACTATGGCTGTAATGGTAAGATTGCAAGTGCCTTTCATGACCACATTCATACACTTAGATAAATTAGTAGTCATGTGCCTAAAGCGATAACCCTTATCGACATATTGAGCCCAGTTTGCACACAGTATGTTGTTAGCCCATGCACACATCGTGAGGTCCATATCGCCCAATGCTCTAAACTAGTACAAAAAATTATGCTCAGTCTTTGCATATGCTACATTCATTAGCAATTGCTTTATATCTTTATTCTTGAACTTTACAGCAAAATTTGACGCAATTTGTCATAAACAGTATGCATGATAAGTTGAAGGGAATGCCACCCACTCCCTGTAACTTTTAGAGCTACTTTAATAGCATGATACCTATCAGATATGAGAAGAATGCCCTCTTGTGGTGTCATATGCTGACAAACATTTCTAAAAGAAAATGACCATGCTTTTGTCTCTCCCTCCACTACTGCAAATGCAACTAGCAAGATATTTGAGTTGCCATCTTGAGCAATTACCATTAACAATGTTCCACCATACTTGCTATACAAGTGTGTTCCATCAATTGAAATCATTTTTTTGCAATATTTGAATGTCTCTATGCATGGTGGATAAGTCCAGAAAAGATGATGGAACATAAAGCAACCATAATCTACAACATCACCAACATAGAATAGTCTAGTTTGCATTTGGACAATAGTATCTCGCATATAAGACTGCAAGCCACCCAACCATCTTGGAAGTTCATTATACGATTCTTCCCAATCTCTATATATCATAACAATAGCTTTCTATTTGATGAACCACACTTTTCTATATGTCATCTTGAACATCAACTCTGACTTTACTCATACTTGTAGAGATTTGATTTTTGTCGTCGAATCTGCTTGTATCATATGGTATACGTGGGCACAGATAATACTATAATCCATCTGAGCATGTTGATTCATAGACTTTGAAAAGACACATGTGTGGTCCTGTCAATTTTTGCACTTCCCATAACTACAATTTCTGACAGAAAGTGACACGTATACTCTAATTATAGTCAATGTCAAACTTCACATACTTGCAATGAAATTTTATGTGGTCATATTCATAAACTTTATACTGAACATCTCTTCGAATGTTGTAATTCTTATAATGTTGTAATATTTAATAACAAACATCACTTCATCTTTGGTGCAAAATACTTGACCAAGTGACAAATCATTTTCTCCCCTATACTCAAACTTGAACCAGACCCACTCATATTATAATGCATTGCATTTAAACCAATTCTTCAGTAGTGACTAGGACGCTGTTGAGATTGAGATTAAGATTAGAATTGAGATGTGACATCAAATGTTCATCCAAATTCTGCACATCAAATAACTATTCATCTTCTTCATCATGAAGGTCTTCCTCTTCATCATTTTCATCATCCTGTTATGCCACAATAAAATTAAAATTTCTAACCAAGCTGTCTTGTCTCATTTCCTGTGGATTTAGTGATGGCTTTTCAATCTGTCTAACAAAGTGCTCGAAACTTAAAGAACCTACCTCATAATGTGAATTGTACACGTTATAATGGGACATCTCAACTAGTGAACCTCGATTTAATGGAGAAGCTGATAGATCTAGGGCTGAACCTTTAGAGCTAAAATGATCACCTTGTAGTTCAACAAAAAGCTCTATTGTACGAGCTTCAGCAAATGAGTTAAAATAACTAAATATGTGATCAATGTGCTCATATTTTTGAATTCGACACCTTTTATATCAAAAACCATTTGGCCCAATATTAACTACATCTTGTAGAATATTTTGATACTTGTATGTTGTTTCCGTCATACTCCTCCAGTATTTGACTCTCCAACTGTAGCAAAGTAATTGGTGGACGGACAACTAACCAAGCCTAATTGTCGCAACAAAATGTCTCTCCCTCTACTGTGTTTACAGTCTCACCATTATATATATAAGCATATGAACATCATTCTCTGTCATTTTAATAAAATTTTCACACTCAATGTGTCAAAGTTTCAAAAGAATTAATGCAAAGTTAGAAAGCTGTATGTTTATTTATAAGGAACGAGCAAAGGGATGAGTATTAAAATCTACTTGAATTGACTTCTTTTTTAAACAAAATTCTATTTAAATTAATTTTAGTGTAACAATTTAGTGAAAGTTAATTTAAATTGATTTTTAAAAGAAAGTAAAAACAATTCCACTCGACTACAATTGACTTCTTTGCAAAAAAATAAATAATTAAAAGTCAATTTAAATCAATATCTATTTTAACTTGATTAAAAATTGTAACCAAAGTCGATTTTCATTATTATATTTTCACGACACAATTGTAAACTTTTCTAATAGAGGATATTTACATAATAAATTTTTTAAATTTTTTTTATTTATGTAAAAAAGCCAAAGTATAATTATGTATATGAATTAATATCGAATTCATTTACATGTAAATCTATTCAAACGCTGCAAGTTATATATAATATGAAATTGATTAATATCTAAATACACTCTAGAACTTTTATTTCTGCATTGATAAGCATAAAATAGATCGTAGAAACTCAAGGGCTGTTAGATGGTAATGATTTTCCTTTTCAATTCCAATCGAATCGATTCTCTCAGCTGTACAAATTAGCTAAATTGTTAAGAGTCGAAATAAAATTGATTTTGGTCATCGCAGAAAAAAGCTTACTGACCCAACGTCATTCATAATGCAACGAAATTCATATTGCATTCAATTTCATTCATTGAAATAATCTCAAAAATTGGGTCACTTACCAAGTCCCCTGCTCCCCTTACACCACCCCTTCACCCTTTCCATATCTCAAACATAGTCGACGCATGCCACTTTACTTTTAATTGATGTTCCTTTCTGAGCTCACAAATGTGTCAATAATTTGATTTCTTTACTCTCTATTTGCATCACTTGGGCTTTAGGCTTGGAAAAATAATACTAGTTTTACATCTCTACTAAGTATTTTATATTATATCTAGAGTACATAGCTGATATGTAAGTGAATACATGCACTCATCGGCATGACGACCACAAAGGCCAACCAAGTTGGTTTAGCTAATAAGAATCGAACCACAGTTAACAAGAATCAAAGCATCATGTTTGAAAGCTTTCCTGAGGGGGCAATATATAAATATCGATTTATGAGGCATCTGAGATTTTTCGTATTGGAACGGGATGTGATAGCTTTCCTTTGAATCCTTTACCTAAACTATTGTTTTCCTTTTCACGATAATGCTGATTCCAATGATGCATGCGTTAGAAGATCATATTGGTGGGTCACCAATGGTTTTAAATTCTAAGATGGGAGTCAATAATTTGCAGTGTGTCTGCACGACAAACAAGTATCATATCATTATGCAGGCATCCAAAAATCCAAACGAAAATACCTCACAAAACTAACATTGTCCGGATACATGTTTGTGTACGAAAATAAATTAAATAATAGCAATAATAGTAATATACTAAAGTCAAATATCTCCCATTTCAAATACAAGCCTGATATTAAAATTTACTTGTTACCAGCTATCACTGAATTGACTTTGTTTTAATCTGCACGAGATTGGCCTGCCCGGGATGAGAGAATGATACCCACAATGAGGCCATAGAGAGCAAGAGCTTCAGCAAAAATCAAGATAAGAATCATACCAACAAACAGCTTCGGCTGCTGGGCATTGGCCCTGACAAAAAGGTATCACCTTACTCAGTGTCCAGGCATTTAGTTAACAATGGCATATGTATTGCATAGATTCATGAAAGAGATTATAATTTTAGCTGTGAGCTCTCACACACATGCACACAAATTGAAGGCGAAAAGTCAAGATGGCATGGCATAAAACGAAAAAAACAGCATGCAAAACAGCCAAAAGGGAATAAATTAAGCATCAAATAGAGAAACCCCAAGAACCAAATAAGCATTAAGCATCTGAAAATGGTTGCATAGTTCTCTACACCATCCTTGCATTGTCAACAGTTATTTTAAGGGGGAGAATGAGGGGGCAGCAGCTGAAAATGTTTGCAGTGAATATTTCTTTTACTGTCCTATTAAGTTAAGGAATCATTAAATAAAAGTCTGTACTGGAAATTACGTTAAGAGTGTATTGGACATTACAGGGGGAGTGAATTACTACACTTCCCAATAATTATTTTTCACTACTGATTCCTTGACAAGCACCTTAAGCATTTGCCTTTCTCTTAAACAAAAACAATATGAAATAAAGTGAAAGTTCCATAATTGAAATTCTAAAAGTGAAAGTTCCATAATTGAAATTACGTTAAGAGCGTATTGGACATTACAGGGGGAGTGAATAACTACACTTCCCAATTATTTTTCACTACTGATTCCTTGACAAGCACCTTAAGCATTTGCCTTTCTCTTAAACAAAAACAATATGAAATAAAGTGAAAGTTCCATAATTGGAATTCTAAAACAGATAATTATATCCAAAGGTAAAACTGTTATGAAATTGCAAGGAGAAAGCAAGTCCTCATTCACATAACACAGGTGATATAAAAAAGGTCAATCTAGTCATCCCTCCTGATTAGATTGACAGTAGTACTTCACCCTTTCTGCCGAAAAAAATGTAGACTAGAAAGAGACGCAGCAGGTTTATTAAATAAATAAACTACTACAACAGAACTAAAAGCATCGTAAGAATAAATCTCATTAGCTCATTCCACATTAACCACACAGGCAACATGCATAAAAATTTGCATGTCCATAAATTAACAAAGACAACATACTTTAAAACATATTACACTCCAGCAATATATAATGGTTAATGAACACCCAAATACACAACATGGATAGCAGGAATTAAAGTGAGCATCAATTTCCAAACGCAAACAATTTGACAGAGTCAAATATGCTTATCTAGCCAGTATTAGTAATTATAAATTTCCACATCACCAAAAAGAATGCTCCATTGTATGCATGTAGAGAAATGACTGTTCAAATCCATAATGAATAACAGAAAAATGTAATGTATGTACTTAACCTTAGTGGTGAGGAAAAGTTTATATTTTTCAAAATAGCAAACTGGTTTTTGAAAATGTTTCTCACTCACAATTTAGTCCTGATTTTAGTAAAGTTTATGATTCAACACCGAAATTATACAAACTCAATTCATATTCCTTTTGCTAACATTCTTCAGGACGAACAGGAAATGAGCTTGAATAATGCAGGACAAAAAGCATACAACTAAATTAACATGAGACAAAATTGCAAATGTAAACATTTCAATGAATTGGACCAACATCAATATGAAATTATACTTACCTATTGGATAACAATGACTACCAATAAGAAGTATGTGACGTTTAAAACTCTATTTTAAACACTGTACATTTTACGAGACTTAAAATATAATAAATTTCAGCTCATTGGAAGAGAAGATATTCATTACTTGGAGTTATGGCAAAAACCAAAGCAGTTTAACATTGCCCTTCACATCCTTTACACCTTACAAGCAAAATCTAGTTTGAGTAATTCATCAAATTAATCCCTAAAATTATGAATACAGGTCAATTTAGTTTATAAAATTACAAAGATGTCATTTTAGTCATTGAAATTATTAAATAATGGTCATTTTAGTCCCTAAAATTACAAAGCAGAAATCATTTTCATTTCTAAAATTACAATAATAAGAATTAAAACAACTTATATTTGATAATATCAAGGACTAAAATGATAATTTTTTGTAATTTCAAAACGTAAATTGACTCATACTTATAATTTTAAGAACCAATTTAGTACTGAGACAAAACTTGAATGCAGGTTCTTAGTTACAATTTTTTACTGCTTTTCAATTAAAACTAGATTTCTACCTTAGTAATCTATGATAACACTAGATGTTTACCTTTTACATGGTAAACCTCTAATTTTTATCAGTTTTGTAAATAAGGCTAAGTTTAAGGATCCAAAATAAAGTTTTTATTGAAAAATAAATTATTCATTACATTTGAGATACAAAAATGCAACAAATACTTTCTTTTTCATTAAAATATAATAAGTTAACATCATCTTCAATTTAAAAACAGCACCTAAAAAATTCTACCTAAGTTTTGTCCTTTACTATATTACACATTTTAATTTATAATGTGTAATTACTTACAGGACAAAACTTCAGTGCAGTTTCATACATACTTTTGGTGTTGTTATTTAATTAAAATTGGAGTTGTCTCAATAACATGTGTCAATCTTTAATGACGACTTTCATTGAGTGAATTCCTAAGACAGAACTCTGATTTGAATTGGAGAGATAAGGGGAAAATACCTGACACCAGCATCACCAACAATTCCAATGGCCATTCCAGCAGAGAGACCAGCGAGGCCACAAGCAAGGCCAGAAGACAAGTGAGCATAGCCATCAAAGAGATAGTAAGACTTAGCCTTTGGGTTTATTCCAGTACTAATGATAACCGCTATAATCAACCCATAAATACCCAACACACCAGCCATAACCACTGGCACAATCGACTTCATCACTAGCTCTGGCCTCATCACACCCATCGATGCCACTCCCACCCCACTCTTCGCTGTTCCATACGCTGCTCCCATACCTGACATAAAATAAAATAAAAAACATAATAATTTCAATTATCATTTTATTACAATAATTCAAAATCAAAATAATTCAAATTCAAAATTACAAAAGAGAGTGTGACGAACACGAGAAGACGAGAGCCGCAGCGGCACCCAGGAAGCCGAAGAAAGGAGCGGTTTCGTCGCCGCTGAAGCCTGCCATCGTTTGCTTTGTTACGCTAACTATTGCAACTCTTCTCTGCAAGATGAATGGAATTGATGTGATAAAATAGATAGACGATAGATCGGATCAATGTGAATCGTGCAATATAGAAATTCGATGACTTGGGGAAAATAATTATTTATTATTCTGATTGTCACAGGTGGAGACAGGTTGTTGGAGTGAGCCAGAAGAATCGTGTTCACCCACTTTACCATAGTGCCCTTTTCAGTTTTTCATATTATACGCGTAATTATTTTAGTCACTTAGAAAAACCTTATTTTAAATAATTATTATTTTATAAAATCAATTGTTAAAGCAAAACTTTGGCAAAATAACAAATTAATCTAATTGATGCTAACAGTTCAAAAGATTAAAATAAATATTTATTTGTTTTGTGTTTTCAAATTTTCTTGGGGCCACCATCGAGGTAATGCTTTTCATAGGGTGGGCTTGGCCCCATTTTTTCTTTGGGCTCTCCTTATAGCATTAAACAAAGTAAATAATAATTTACTTTTTTATGGGAGAAATTTAAAATGTACCATTGTTTCAAATTTAAAAAATTATATTATATTCTATAAACAATGAATCATACCCTTTTTTTAATCATCAGAGGTTTAATAAAATAATATAGTTTCTTAAATTAATAACTTGTATCCTCTCACATTTGTATTAAATTATTTTTATATTTTTTTATAAAAAATATCAAGCATTAACCATCTTTTCAATAGTTGAGAAGAATCATGAATGTAGTAAACAAGATTTTATAATTTAAAATATGTCATTGAATAGTATGAATTTGTGTAATTAATTAATACAAAAACTTGATTTTCAATAAATAGTATTGTAATTAGAAAATAAAAGGTAATATTTAGATACTGTTCCTAGACACTGGAGATAGAAATACTGAAACAATGAAGAACATACACTAATATTTGTGTCTGTATATTGTGTTTGAAAGTAAGAACAGAATGTGGTGTATTACATCTTGTATTGTGTTTGGATATAAAAGTTATGAAGGTAATTTATGCAATTTTTAAAAATTATGAGAGGTATTTTTGTTTTCAAAAGTCTACCCTCCGTGTCTCTAAAGCTGGGACACTAGTATTCCTTTTTTTTAAGAGGTATACTAGTGTCCTTCAAATTTGTATCCTATGTGTCCTTTGTGTCTCTGTCTCTCCAGCGAGATACTAGTCAAACATGATAAGTGTGCCTATATGTCTCTGTTATAGTGTCTCTATCTTTGAACTAAACATTACTAAAGAGAATACAATTACATATACGATGATACAAGATATCCTCTTGAACTTGGAATAAATTTAAATTCTAGGACTTTGATATTTTGGCTTATAAAATTACACTCATCTTTTTCATGTAAGGACAGGATAGTCACTAATTTTATGATCCCTTAGTCATGATGGGCCAAGTTCTTGTAATACTACTCTAATGATTAAGAAAATTCTTTGATTCTCTACTTACTTTTCTCATGGTGTATTTGTTTACTATGTTTTGTTCAATCCTTATTAAAAACTACAAAAGTTATATGGATCTCACTCTTTCTCACTTCTAAATTAATATTTTTATTTTATTTTTAAAAATTTTTAATAAATTTTATTCAATAGTGAGAGATGTGTTAAATAGTATGATACTAATATTTCTCATCCTAAGAATGCAAACATATTTGCATATCTTGAGACGTAACTTCATAACTATATTTGTTTTGGAGTCTAATTATATAAATTAAAATTAACAGGATACAATTAAAATTAAGTGATAAGAAAGTTAATAGCAATATAAGTAAGACTTTTATTAAAATATCATATTGTCATCTTGAGCATACAATTAACTTAATTTTAATCATATAAAATTTAAAAAATCAATCACATTTCAATGCTTTCCTAATTTAACCACTTTATGGAAGTACGAGTCACAATTAACTTAGATGAATATGACAAAAATTTTGTATGTAACCTAGCGTGTTATGTGACACTAACATCAAATTTTGATAACATTAGCTTCAATTTAAAATTAGTAATTTATCAAATAGATTAAAAAAAATCTTTTTAAAATAAATATTTTATGCTAAGAGATTTTTTAAACAAACAAAATAAAGTGTATAAACTTAACAAATTTTATACGATTTAAAGCATGTACTAAAAGGATGGAATAAATTTTATTTATTTTTTTATTAAATATTGACTAGTAATAATTTGTGTATACCAAATTAGTAAATGGTGAATTTGTGATCATATGCTCGTATGTGAATAATAAGTTCACTTTTTTGTACTTGCAATGATGTGGTAATAAATGTCAAACAATTTATTATTTCTAAATTTAATATAAAAAATAAAGGTGAAGCAATATAATTTTGGATGTTAAAATAATAAAAAAGTGTAATGGCATTATGTTATCACAAAAAAAATTTGTAGACAAGCTTATTAAGAAATTTAAATATTTGGATGCTTTACCTTATTACAACTTAGGATTCAAACATTTAATTAAATAAAAATAAAGGTGACTTCATTACACAATCTAAATATGAACAAACAATTGAAAGTCTTGCAATTCATAAATTTTTTTAACTTAACATAACATATGTAATGAGTAGGTTAAGCCAATATACTAACCTTTTCTTATTTAAAATTTCTAAAAACAAAAGACTAAATTTAAATTCTTAAATAGTTAAATTTAATCATTAAATTTAATTAGCATTAAAGTCTCCTTTATTCATGCTAAAAAAATATTTGCTTAAACTACCAAATTCTTAGTTTGTTTAATCAATTTTTATTTTTGATTAAAATTAATATATATACATTTTTAGATTACATATATCTTTCATTGTAAGCAACATATTTGAGGTAGATAAGATAACTATTGGCGACAAAAATTTTATTTTATCTATATAATTTAAAGGCTTAATTATATTTTTAATCCTTATAAATATAAGACTTTTTGTAATTAGTCCCTATAAATATGTTTATTAGGAAGTAGTTCTTCTAAAATTAGTAATTTTGAAATTAGTTCTTACCGTTAATCCCACTCTATTAAATGCTGAGCTAGCTCTAACCAGCTCAGCACTCCACGTTACACCACATGGCCATTTTGAAATCCAATCTAAGCTTAGGTGGTATGTCACATTATTTATTATTTTTATTTTAAAATTAAAATTTATAAATAAACTCTTGAACCTATTTTATATATTTATAAATAAACTTTTCTTTTTTATCAATCAACTCCTCTCCCGCAGCTTCACCTCCTCCTCCCCTAACCTCTACCATCACCCTCAGCCCACTCACTATGGAACCCAACACTCCAACCCCTCTTCCACCCTCACTCCAAAACCATTAACCAAGCTATCATTTGCAATCATTATTCCATGGCTCCAACTTCCTCTAGACACCACGAAACATGGGTCGCAGAAGAAATATGCTTGGCTCTTCTTCGCTCCTGCAACACTTTCACCACTCTCACCCAAATCTACGCACTCATTCTCAAACTTGGTGTCCAAAACAACCCTCTCGTCCTCACCAAGTTTGCTTCCACCTTCTCAAACTTCCACGCCATTCACTACGCTTCCACCTTCCTCTTCCTAAATGACCAAGCTATCCTTCTCCCCTTTCGCATTAGCTGGAAGAACGCAAAGTGCTCCCGCACCCACCACGCTGCTGCCTCTCCATCCTCCTGTGCTGTGACATCGACACAGGAGCACCCCTTGCCGACAATGGCCCCCATGGCGGCAACGCAAGGGTTCAAGGGTGGAGTTGACGGTGACGTCAAACACCCCTTAGGCTTGGACATGGGTTTGAAGACATGGACTTTGGAATAGGGAGATCGGGTTTGGGTTTCCCTATAATGGTGGAGGGCCATAACATTAGGGTTCGTTTGGTGGAAGGGCAATGTTAAATGTTTTAATTTAATATAAAGTTTAGCTATAATTCCAAATTTTTTTGGTGCACTGGTGTATCTTTTTCAAGGGAGTGTTAATAGATGATGGGTGAGGGTAGTGGGGAAGGTGGGGCTGCCGGAGAGGAGTTGATTAAGGAAGAAGAAGGGTTTATTTATAAATATATAAAATGGGTTCAGAAGTTTATTTATAAATTTTAATTTTAAATAAAAATAATAAATAATAAATGATGTGACATGCTATATAGGCTGTGACTGTGTTTTAAAATGGCCACGTGACACCACGGGAGTGCTAGGCTTACTCTTCATTAGTCAGTTCAATACTTAACAGAGAAGGATTAATGACAGGGACCAATTCTAAAATTATCAACTTTAGAGGGGCTACGTCTTAACAAAAATATTTGTAGGGACTAATCACAAAAATATAATTAAACTTAATTTAAATGATACTAATTTATAAATATAACAATTCTTTTTTTTTCTAAATTTCCTTATAATTTAAGCATGATCAAAATTATTTTATCACATTATTAAATTACTTAAATAATTATAAGCATAATTTAACCATAAATAACATAAGTTCAACCACTAATGGCAATAATATATTTTATTTTTAATATTATTTTACTTTATTATCATTCAACAAAAATAATAATTTTATTTTAGAACTGGTAAAAATATTGGTTCATGGTAAAATGGTTCAATAATTATTGAATTGATATATTAAAAGTTAAATTAATAAAAAATTATAAAAAAGGCAAGTTAATTAAGAGTTTAAATTGCAATAAAATGATCATATCGTACCTTTTATGAGATAAAACTTAGAGTAAATTACATTCCATTTCTTAAAAATACATATATTACATTACCTCTTTTTTATTTTAAAATTATATAATTCTCTTCTCTAAAAAAAATTAAAAATACTATAAGTTAATCCATTTTAAATCTTTTGTTAAAACAATGTTAAATACCTTCTTTTTTTTATTTTCAAATTACAATTATTTTTTACTAGAGCTAATTTTATTTGAGTAAGATAGAATTATTATGAGTGATAAAACTTTACCTTTAAAAATTTAACATTATATTTGCTAAACTTGAATTCGAAATTATAAGTTAAATTGAAACAACTCATTACTAATTGATTTACGTGCTTGTGATAATGTTAAACACTTATTTGACTTTTTTCTAATTAAAATATTAAAAAATTTAATAATGTTTCTCAATTTTTTAAGAAGCTTAAAAATTCATTGAATTTTTTATAGTTATGTAAAAAATTTTAATAAAAAATTTAAAACATTAAAAATGTAATTTTTTTAATTAACTTCTATCTAAGTTTTCTTTCTAATTCATGAGTATTTTTACTTTATACTATTCTCTAATTATTACATTAGTGTTAAATATTTTAGAATTGAAACTTAGATACAAATATTATTTTCATCTCATAAATTTAGTTTTTTTTTTCACATAATTTTAAAATAATCTCATATTTATTTTTTAATACCAAAGATATATATATATATATATATATATATATATATTATAAAATCCTTTTTTGTTAATAAAGCAAAACCTCAAAATTTAATTATACAATAAATTCATTAACATTATTTTAATTAATAAATTCATCCTTATAATATAAATTTTATTCTTAATTTTTGAACAAGAATATTTTTTTGTATTTTTTATTCTATATAAAATCATGTGACCTTTCTTGTTATTTTTTAAATTTTGATTTTAATTTTAAAATCTTAATTTGTTATATTAAATTAAAGATATCTTCCTTTTTTTAGATAAATTTAAAAACTTAAAATTATTATGATTGAAATATAAATGTAATTTTTAATTTTTATTTTCTGACTCACCATATCAATAGAAAAATTATCTTGATTTATTTAATTTATTTTGATATTTTTTTCAATATTAAAAATCTGATCCTTTTTATTTATTTTTATTTAATAAATAAAATATATATTTTTTATTAAATTTACAATGAAAATTTACTGATACAATCCAGAAATACATAATTAATCAACACTGAACAGTGACACTAACCAGCGTCCACAGGTAATTTGTATTTCTTTAGAAAATAGTAAACTAAATCCAATCATAGATTAGTCTTCAATCAACCATTAGAAACTCATTGCTTTTCAACTAACGATGCTTTTAGACAGAGTCCAACCTTGCTTGCTCCTTCTATGCGCTTCTCCTTCTTCGGTCTTAGCAATTTCAACGCAGCCATAACCACTCACCAACATGGCCGATTCCAGAGTGGAAACAATTGCCAGATTAGCCCAATGGAAAATCGACAACTTCGGACCCTGTTCCTACAAAAAATCCGACCCTTTCAGGCTCGGAATTTGGAACTGGTAAGCATGCGCAAATCACGTGCCTCTACACTGGTAGTGCATTATGATTGTGCTTGAAATGTTTCTTGATTTCGCAGGTACTTGTCCATCGAGCGGAATAGGTATCTCTATATTCACCTCTTTCCAGAACCTTCAAGAGTTTCTAAGGAGCAGCCACCTGTTGCACGTTTCATTCTACGTGTCTCTAACACTGGCTCTACCCGCAGATTTTACATTTCCCCTGGTATGTTCTTTTTACCCCCTTCTCTCTCTCTCTCTCTCTGTTTTTTTTTTTTTTTTTTTTTAACATCATAATTGCGGAAGATTAAGGTTGTAGATGATATTGCGGTTGCGATTTCTGTTGTGGACTTCGATTTAAAATATTGAAGAAATGAGCTTTTAGAAGATCAATTGTAAAGATTTTTATTTTATTTTATTTTTTGGGTATAAATCTTAATATTGAGACTCTGATTGATCTTGTAAAGTTGTGTGATTTCAAGTTCTTTGGATTGATCCAAGTGTGTTTGTGATTGAAAGAGATGGAGCCTGTGGATATTGTTTGCATGATGATATGATATAACATCTGTTGGAGTCTAATTATAGGATGAGATTTTGGATTATGATTTTCATTAGTGATTAGAGATTACTGTGTGGCTATTATCAAGGAAGGGTCTTCAAAAGAGACTGGTAGGGAGTGGGGGGTTAGAATGGATTCCTTAGTTTGAAGTAAGGAGAACCACCAAGAGAAAAGAGGTGCTGAAAATTTCGATTTTTATACTGTATCAGCTTTACGGAGTATTCTAGGTGATGTTGGTATTCTTGAATGAAAGATGATATTCGTACACTCGCTGGGTGTATTCACCTAGTAAGAGATAAGAAGAGAAGAGAGAAAAGTGAATGATATGAAAAGTAATGTAATGTGATCAGAAGACAGAGAAAGAGAGAGAAATGAAGTGAAAGGTGAAAATACTCTGCTGCTGTATAAATATAACTAACTACCTTTTAATAAACTACTGCATCATCTCAGTGCTCATGTAATGCATCCTGCCACACATGACCTAGCTATGCTTCCTCTCCTTTATTCTATCTGTTTTTTTCAAGACTGTACATAGCCATCAGAATCTTTAGGCTTTCCTTTTGCACTTAGGCCTTGTTCTCCTTTTTCCAGCTTGTTCTGCTGGGTATATTAGTTTGATATTGTTTACAACATGGGACAGTGAGTGAGAAAGGTTTGGAAGGGTAATCTGGTTAATTTTGTGCTAGATAAGTTGCTATAATTCTCTTTTTATTGGGGCATGGCTTATTTTGGTAATGGAGAGTGAGCTGCTCTGGACAAAATTGTAAACAATTCCAACAAGCGAGATCAATGGCTTGAAAATCATGAAATTATTCATTGCTTGAAAATTGTTAGTTTTGGTTCTTATAAATTTTAAAATAGTCCTTCCAATCACATAGTAATAATGTGGATGCCACCTCAAAAAGATTGCTAATGTGACATTAGATGCATCCCACTTTGCCACTAAGCGGTGACATGGATCATTTTTAAACAAACAACAACAACCAACTCTTATCTTACTAAGTGAGGTCAGTTACATGCATTACACAATGCTATTGAACTCAGTCAAAAATCAAATTTTCAGAAATTTAATTAATCAAAAGGTCTCTTTAACTTCATCTAAGATTTTTTTGGATCTCCCTCAACCTCTCTTTATCCAACTAAGAGTCATGCATTCCACTCTTCTTATTGGCATCTCTAAAGGCCTTCTCTACACATGACCAAATCATTTTAGACGATTTCTAGTCATCTTTTCCACTATAAATGTTACTCTAATATTCTCTCATATATCATCACATGACATGGATCATTTTTTTAAAAAAAATTGTTAGGTCAAATTTAACATAAAAATTTGAAAGGACCAGACTCAAATGAAGACATATTTACTGGGACTATAACTATATGTAATTTTAAGGAAAAAGTTCACTTTACCCCCTTATGTGTTTGGTCATGCGTAATTTATATCTTCTCTTTTGAAAGTGTGCAACACGACACCTTATATTTACCAACATGTGCAAAAAAGTCCTTTTGTTAATGAGACGCCCCATTTCTCTGTTCTTGGACAAAAATACTCCTAAATCCCTAAACTCTCCTCTCTATGGCGGCAAGCTTCGGCATACAATAGACTCATAGGGTCGTGAGATGGAAAATCAACCTTCTTGAACAACTTTCTCTTGCATCTCTTTGGCTTTGCTTCTTAGTTGCTTACTCTCTTCCTCACCATCACCATCTATCAACCTCTTCACAACTTTCTCTACACATTCCTCAACAATCTCTTTCTTCTTACCCTGACATGGTGAAATGCACCACTCTACTATGCTTAACTCCACCCCGAAGTGGTGTACCTCAATTTTTAGCTTCTCATTATAGTATTGGTTGTTGAACCTAGGCATGAAGATTATGGGAACCCCAGCACTGATGGCTTTTACCACTGTGTTCCATCCATAGTGCGTTAGGAACCCTCCCATGGTAAGATGAAGCAAGATTTTAGGTTGTGGGGCCCATCCCTTTATGAGCATTCCTCTGTTGTCTTTCCTCATCTTTTCTTTGTAACCTTCTAGCAATCATCTGTTATTTTCTTGAGTTGTAAACAAGTTGTGGTGGAGGAGAGGGCAGAGAGAGGCTGTCAAAGATGTCAATGAAGTTAAAGTCGTTGTCGTCATTGGAGATATTGCTGGGCTCCAGGAGAATGTGGAGCGTTTAAAGGTTGTGTAACTGTGGTTACCTATGAAGCAAGAGGGTTTTGTTGTTCTTTGTCACGAAAAAGAAGATTGCTAATGTGTTTGCCACTGCGAGGGGGAATTAGGGATTTGGAGATATTTTTGTCCAAGAAATAGAAGAATTGGACGTCTGACCAACGAAAGGGTTTTTTCACACATGTAATAGAGTATCCCGTTGCACACTTTCAAAAGTCAGAGTCTAAATTATATATGACCAAACATATAGGAGGGTAAAACAAACTTTTCCTTGTCTAATGACATGTTTGGAAGAGCTTATGAAAATAATGTATAACTCCTATAAGCTTGTTTAGCTTATTTTAATAAAATTTATGGTATAACTTATCAAAATAAATTATTTTCAGTTTATTCCAATAATTTTCATGATTAAATTTGTGACATTAGTTATCATATAAAAAGAGTTCATTAAATAAGGCTTAAACTGTGTATCTAGACACACCTTAAGACTAAGTTTTATTTATTTCTGTATATATAAGCATCAGTATGTTGAGTGCAAAACACTCAAGCAATTCATAAAACTCAAAATTTATTCTCAAATGCTTTCAAGTGTTTTTGTTTGTCTTGCCCCCTAAATCCATGTTAGCAACACAAGCTTGAAGTTTACTTCCAACATTTTTGAGTCTCTGATCATCAAGGTTTTCTTTTATACCTGAATTCTAGTGTTCTGATTTTGGAATCTGCTGCATCTTCTGTTTACTGACAAGAAAAAAGGCTATATTTGCATTGCCACCTCAAACTGCAACCATGAAGATTAAAATTGCATTTACCTGTAGCAACTTCAAGATTGTATGATGAAATGCTGACACAGGTTGTGCCTTCACTTATATGTGCTTGTAATGCTCAGTTCATGAGAGGGTGCTTAGGACATGTGATGATTTTGTCTGGCCTGTGGATACTACACTAATTGGGCGTATTGTTATCGATGTTGAATTTCTTGACCTGAAGATCTGCCCTCTGAATGTGAGTTCCTAATATTTATATTTGTATGATATTAATGTAAGTAAACAATTATATAATTTATACATAAATATAATGGTGCTTGTTTTTACTCTAGATATCCATCTGTTTATAAAATGTCAGTATAAGTTACTTGCTAAGCACCAAGCAGTGCATCATGTTCTTTATCTGATCAATTGCATTCTGTCCAGGGAACCTCTGAGTTAGTATTACATTGTTTCTTCTTAAACTTTGATTGTTTCTTCTGAAAATCAGGGTGGAGAAGCTAGATCTATATGGCCATCTGATGGAAAACTGCAATCTGTTGCAGCTCAAAGCACTCTTCGATGCCTCTCTCGCATGCTTGATGATGCTATACATGCTGACCTCGCCATTATCACTACGGATGGGACCCTGAGAGCTCATAAAGCAGTTTTGTCTGCAAGTTCTCCTGTGTTCCAGGGCTTGTGTGATCATGATGGAGATGAGAAAGAGACATCTATGGTCCACATGGAAGATATGTCACAAGAATCGTGCATGTCCCTTCTGAGTTACTTGTACGGCACTATAAAACAAGAAGATTTCTGGAACCACAGGCTTGCGTTGCTTGGAGCAGCCAATAAATATGAGATTGGTGATCTGAAAGATGCCTGTGAAGAAAGCCTACTGGAAGATCTTAACTCAGGAAATGTTCTGGAGAGGCTAAACGAGGCTTGGCTTTACCAGTTGCACAAGTTAAAGAAAGGATGTTTCACATTCTTATTTGATTTTGGTAAGATACATGATGTTAGAGATGAAATAAATACCTTTTTCCGTCATGCTGACAGGGAGCTAATGCGGGAGATGTTTCAGGAAGTGCTTACAATTTGGAAATAGGTTGTGTGAAACTCTTGGCACCATTTTGTCTGGCAAATCATGGATCCTTTTGAATAATCATGTTTTTACTTTTTAGTAGTATATTATATTATGATGTATAGTAATACTAATGTGCCCCCCTCTTCAACAACCTTGCAGTTAAAATGCCAAATGAGGGTGTGCGTTATTCTGTATATATTGGCCCCAATATCACTTGTTATCCTAAAAGGAGGAGGACCAAACTATGCTAAAAGAGGGAATACATGTTTAGGAAGCTAGATGCTGCTCTTGACCAAAAAAAAAGTTAGATGCTGGTGATATCAAGGAACATGTTTAGAAAGAAGAGTAATGGACAAATGGTTTGTAAGAAAGGGGGGATATACCAAAAGATAAGAATTTTAAATTAACCAATTACTCTTGCTTCGTTGCTTCTTTTATTTACAATTATATATTTCCCTCGTTTTGGTTATAATTTAGAGTCGATGGCAAGATATTGATAAAACTATGGAGTGACGGATCTAAATATTTTGAACTTGTGAAGACAAGACATACATATACATAAATCTACAACATTAAAATTGGGGCATGAAAATTAATTATTTCGAATATTGTGAGTAATTTGTGTTTGCATATGACATCATCTTTCCCTAGAACCTTTAGCTGAAACTACTGGAACTCGTTAAATGAAGCTAAAATCTAAGATGATGAATTCTTCAAAATGGGTAGTGACATTTAGAAGATAAGGTTCAATTGATACACAATGATTTATTTCTAATAGAGCAGGCGCGGTGGAGGTTATCAACTTGTATGTGTCTTAGGAGAGGGTTAATAAAACATCATGTTTTATTTAGGATTCAACTGAACTAGACTTTTGGTATCTCAAATTTACTCCCTTGACTAAGAAGCATAGACAAAGAAAGGGAATTCACAATAAACTATAAATTTGGGATGAATTTGACATTATTAAGTGAGGGTGCTTAATTTTAAACTTAATGTGTATTTTCAAGAGTTTATCTGATGTTTCATTTTAATATATTTTCTTTCTCGCTTTTAGAAAAAGTTGTATAAACATTTAGGATTCATTAGTTCTCCAACCATTCAAACATTATAAAAATATTAATAAAATATTATCATAAAAATATTAACGAATTAATAAGTTATTATAAAAATATTAACTTCAAAAAAATTAATAACAAAATCATTGACTGAAATCATCAATGGTTATTATATATACAATTTTGTATACACAAATTTGTACTAAAAAGCAATTTTGAATTTAAAAATTAAATCATTGAATTTCACGACAGAGTCAGCAGGAACGAGATTGACTACTAATGTTGCAATGATTCAGCCACTGAAAAAAAAAAAAACCTGCATGCCTTGCGAAGAAGCCTTAAAACGGACTCTAACTGTTACAAAGCATCTCCAAACAATCAGTTATACACAACCGAATCAGTTAAAATCTCTCTCATATATAGATTTTAATTAATAAACAAAGGCAAGAAATAAAAGGCAAAACTTTAGCCGGAGAAAACGTTGTTTTATTCATGGAAAGCCACATACCAAGAGTCAAAGACGCTTGCGCGGCGTGCAGATTTCAACGCAGAAGGTGTGGCACTCACTGCATTCTCTCAAGTTATTTTCCTAACGATCGTCAGGACCAATTTATCAACGCACACAGATTATTTGGTGTTGGTAGAATCACCAATATGTTGAAGACTCTTGATCCTCAAAATAGAGATGCAGCTGCGAGCGCCATTATTTACGAATCTGACATGCGCGCCATAGATCCTGTTGGCGGTTGTCACAGAGTAATTCAACAGTTGCAGTCACAGATTGAGTCCACCGAAGCCGAACTTCACCTTGTTCGTCAAAATCTTGCTTTTTTCAAGGCTCAGGGTAGCTCTGGTAACATCATCAATGCCGCCCCTCAACCTAATCTTGAATCAATGCCACAAGAACTACAACAACAACAACACGTCAGTTATAATCCTTCACAAGAAGACATCAACATGTGGGCTTTACTGAACTCCATTCCTTTGTCCCATTTGTCTTTAGAGGATAACCAAGAATCTGTTGTCGACTCTTGGCACGATGATCAAGAGCCTGCTCTTGACTCCATGAACGAAATGAATTCGGATGCTGGATCTCATCATCAGGCTAACCAAAAGGAAAACTAAAGAAAATAATGCAAGTAATTAGTGTTATCGCCCCGTACACAACGGATTTTTATTTTTTAAAATAATTAAGTTTAGTTGTAGTTCAAAGATTTAAACTTTGGTTTTTTATTATAGTATTCAGTGTTTTTAGAGAATGTGTAGTTTTTAATGCAACGTATAGTATCTAATAATCACCCGCGAATGCATGTTATTTTAAATAGCAGTTATGCTCGGTGGATATGATATGATGACAATGTTACGTAAACGTGTCACCTGCCAATGTTTCTGAGCATAAAACATAAATATCAAATTATCATTTTTGCATTGATTAGGATTTGTTTGTGAGTATAACAATCTTTTAAAGCTTTTCTTTTTTTTATATTTTCCTGATCTTTGCAAATATGCACATACGAAGCACATGTTATGAAGTATTAGAAAGGTGGTGGTTTACGGTCTCTCTATCTGCAACTCCATTTTCCAATTCAGCCCTAAGCATTGGAATCTCATGCGCCATTTTTTCTTCACTTTCTCTTCTGTTTCAGCCACCCTCCATGTGAATCCCATTAATGCTGTTTCTCTTTCCATATCCTTCACTTCACTACTCACTTGGAATCACGAGAATCCATCTCCTCCATTTCTTTACCATCAAGAGAGTGGAAGAACAATTGATATTTTCATCGCACTTCCTTTGTCTGGTTTTTTTTAATCTATTCTTTCATTTTTTCCCCCTTAATTAAGTATATAACACTAAAGAAAAATATTCCGTTTCGATAGGCACAATTGTGCTACCTCATTTCATTAGTATACCAAAATTTAAGAGAATATTAATTATAACCTATGCAACACACCTAACTCATTGTTTATAATAATATGTCTTCCAAAATTTAATTAAGAGAATGTAATACTAATTAAAAACTCTTATAGTTATTTGAAGCCTTTATTTAATTCACATGTAAGGATTATAATTTATTATTTTACTAATGTAAGTTAAATAAAAATATTTAAATCAAAAGTATAAATTTTTTTAAAATTACACCCATGTGAAAAGATTTAGATATGTCATCTGAAGATATCATTAACTTTTTAACACATTGTTCGGAAATGACCAACTCAAAATTCTTTGACATAATCAAGCAATCCCAAGAGTCCAAACTGTTCAAGGCCATCTCATCAAGTACATGTATGATAATATTTAGATATAAAACAATAAAAATTCATTATATTATTTGGTTATAAGTTGAGATTTTTGTTGCCTGATTAATTTTTAAAAAAATTACTGAGATAAGGTTTTGCAAAAACAATATCTGACGTCAGAAATGACACATGACATTAGTGTCATTCAAAAACATAAAAAAATATTTACCTTAAATTAGGCTTTTTCTGAGGGCGACATTTGTCTTAAATTAGATTTCTTTGAGGTAGTTGTAAGCTTTTAATTTTTAAATATAAAATTTAAAATAGAACATATTCAACTAAAATAAAATTGATTATAAATTTTAAAATAAAACATATTCAGAATAAAATATAATAGAATTAACTTATATACCATTATTATCATTGCCATGACATATAAAAATATATAAAATTAAAAATTTTAAAAATATAGAATGATAACAAACAAAGTAAATGCTCACCAAATTGTTTAATTAAGATAAAACAAAAGTTAGTGAGATTTTAAGAACCAAATTATACACAACTGAATCAGTTAAGATTTCTCTCATAGATAGATTTTATTCATTTGTCTTTTTATTTTATATTAAAAAAACCCTATAACCTAGAAAATATGCTTTAATTAACAAATAAAGGAAAGAAATAAAAGACAAAGCTTTAAATAAGAAAGACGTTGTTTTATTCATGGAAAGCAACGTATCAAGAATCAATAACACATAGGTTTGCACGCATAAAGTGTGGCTCTAACTGCATTTTTGAACTTTATTTTCCTCACGTTCATCAAAACCAATTAATTAACAATAATAAAAGCTAGTAAATAAACAAAATAATAAATTTTAAAATTAATTTTAGTAACTATTTAAATTGTCATTAACATTTTTAATAAATTAAAATTTTTAGTAACAATAAAGTAAGCTTTTATCAACATGGTAATGGTCCGTAGCACTTTTATTGATGTTAGATATGACAGTAAATAATTTTTATCAATAAAATTTTAAATAGTTATTTTTATTGTTACTAAAAATTATAAAAATTATTGTTAAAAATTATTTTTGTTGTAGTTATTAGAGGTGTGATGCTCCAACGGTAGTGTTTCAGGTCTTTAGAATATGTGAAATGTGAAACAGACAGTCATCCCTGCCCTAACAATAGCTATGTTAGGTTAGTGTATATTCATATAATAAGTAAGTTTTGAAAGTGGCGTCGGCACCTCTCTTTTAAATGGCTCGGCAGAGGCAAAACATCTCCGCTGCTAGAAGATTTTTTTGAATCTCAATCTCATTTTCTCATCTACTGTTTAAATCTTAATCTCATTTTCACATTTTATCATTCTTTGTTTGAACCCCAATTTCATTTTTACATTTTTTCATCTACTATTTGAACCTCAATCTCATTTTCACATAATATATTTGAACTCTAATATTGTTTTGATTCGTTATTATTGCAAAGCTATAAGGGAAAGTAGGTGCTAAGAAAAGATGAGATTTTTACTCTTTGATAATTTGTTTATTGAATACCTAATTTATAGTTTTGATTTGTTATTATTGCAAAGCTACAAGGTAAAGTAGGTCCTAAGAAAAGGTGAGATTTTTACTCTTTGATAATTTGTTTATCGAATCCCTAATTTATAGTTTTGATTACATGCAAAAGTTGATTGTGTTTACAAAGTTCCTAATGCATAGGTTGTAACATCCTCAATTTCGTATAGAAGTAAATAAATGAATAAATTTTTATAATAAAGGAGAAAAATAAGATAATTTTGTTCTATTTCATGGATTTAAGAATTGAATAAAAACAAAACTTATATTCTTTCTATGAAAATTTTATAAAATTCCACAATATTTAAAACTTCCAAAGGAATAATTTCAAGACTTTAAATTAATAAATAAAACTTAAATTTACATCCAATAAATTATTTGGTTCACATTAAATACATATAAGTTTAGAATACTACTAAGAACATTTTCAAATTATTCATTATAACAAAATTTACCCAAGTATTATAAATTATAAAATTTGTCATTTAAAAATATTTACAGAACTTGGTCAACATAAAATATACTCTGAGTAAAAATACTACAATTTCTCAAGATATTCTAGTTTCTACCGAGCAATCATCCTTCAAATCTCACTGGACTATGGTCCTAGAACGAATCAATCATCTTTATTTCTTCACTTTCATTACCTGAAAATATTAGTAAGGGTGAGTATCTCGCGCCCCATTAAATCTCTTATTGGACAGAAGAAAGGTGTATATACATACAAATATAATATTGAAAATATTTTTTAGTAGTACAATATATGTATTAGGAGTACACCTTTCAATGTACCACAACACCTGTATCCTAATAACATTCATCAATCTATCTAACTCACATATTGCGATTACATCTCTCATAATTCCTTCATCATGTCATATCATTTACTTTTATACACAAAACTCTTTCTTCATTTGAGAATAGTATAACACTTTTCATTAACAACATAATTTCACCTATTCCAACATGCATCAATTATCAACAAACATTAATATTTATAGTATCATATCCATCTAACATAAAAGGTCCTTAAACAATTTCACACCACACAGATCAATACAATGTGTCGAAGACCAGACACCTCCAAACTCAGCCCAATTGTACAATCCAACATACACACTTTCTCAGCATTAATAAGATCACCTATCCTAAAGTTTAATATCACTTATTCATACATAAATAATGGAAAAATCTTAAAAATTCCTCAGAAGCTTAGTTACTCATCTTTTTAATATAAAATTCTATTTAAATGATCTTTGGATTAAATTGTTGGTTCCTCGTACCCAAAATTTCAATTTTAATAATACAATATAGAGAATCATTGGAGTTCTATTACCCACAATGAAATACCAAAGTTAGGGTTCAAAAGGGGGTTTTCACACAGGAAATTTGTTTTCTACACTATGATTTTACTGAAAACCTTATAGTTTTGCTACTTAGAATCAAATAGTTGAGTTTTCTATGTTAAATTGTATAAATAAGACTTAGGGTTTGAGATTAACTCCCTTTACCTGTAAATGAGTCTCTTATATCGAGTTTTTCTAGAGATCCAAGGGAGAGACACGACGTTTCGAGAGAGGATATCGCCTTGAAGGTTAAGGTTCCCTTGAGTATTGCAAACATACAACTTTATATCAAAAACTAAGAAATAAGAATGGAGTTAGAAAATCAAATTTCAAGAAACTTACTTGGATCTGAATGATTGAGCTCCTAAGCCCGGATTTGAAGGAAGATTGAAGTTTAAAGGAGGATTTTTTAGAAGGGAAGGTGAGAGATCAGAGAGAACAGAGGGGAGGTTGAGATTTTGGATTGTAAACTTTTCTAGGTTGAAGGCCCTTAAATACCCCTTAATTCACAATATTCTCACTACAACGAGAAATTCTCGCTACATTGAGCCCTCCTCTTGCTGTAGCGAAAAAACTAGACAAAATTTTCCTTTACTATCTGTCATTCTAGCTACAGCGAAAGCATCCTCGCTACAGTAAGAGAATCCTTGCTACAAGGAGAGAGCATCAAAATGCCTCATTCTGGACACTCTTTCTCGCTCCAGTGACAGACCCTGCACCAAAACTCCTATTTTTCCATACAAGGGCCACAAAATTGAGGGTGTGATAAATCTACATTTTACCATAATTTTTAGTATAGTTTTGTTAATAAATAAGTAGTAAAGTGCTAAGTAAACTTGGAAATATCATAAAAATTACATCAATATTCATAATTATGTAAATAGTTTTGACTTTTAGATTTTTAGTCCAATTCTGAACAATTTGACTTAAAATGACTTAATCCTTGTGCAGAAGCTTGAGCTGAGAA